AGGAGTTCGAGACCAGCCTGGGCAACATAGCAAAAACCCCATCGCTACAAAAAGAAAAAATAGATCTCAATCTACAACAGAATATTATTTCAGAATATTATTTGGCCGTAAAAGCGAATGGAGTACTAAGACATATGCAACATGGATGAACCTGAAAGACATAATGCTCAGTGAAAGATGGACACAAAAGGCCACATATTGTAAGAAATGTCCAGAGTATTCTTTCTTACCTAGATTCTGGAAAAAAAGAAGAGAAAAGAAATGTCCAGAACAGGCAAATTCATAGAGACAGAGAGTAAATTAGTAGTTGCAAGGAGGTGGGGTACAGGGGAATGAGGAGTAGCTGCAAATAGGCGCAGGTTTATTTCTGGGATGATGGAAATGTTCTGGAATTCGATAGTGATGGTGGGTTCACAACATTGCGAATATACTAAAACCCACGGAATTGTACACTTTGTTTGTTTGTTTGTTTGTTTGTTTATTTATTGAGGCAGAGTCTCGCTGTGTTGCCCAGGCTGGAGTTCAGTGGCGTGATCTTGGCTCACAGCAACCCCCACCTCCCGGGTTCAAAAGATCCTCCTGCTTCAGCCTCCCGAATAGCTGGGATTAAAGGCACGGGCCACCTTGTGTGGTTAATTTTTGCATTTTTAGTAGAGACAGGGTTTACCATGTTGGCCAGGCAGGTGTCGAACTCCTGGCCTTAGATGATCCACCCACCTCGGCCTCCCAAAGTGCTGGGATTACAGGAGTGAGCCACCGTGCCTGGCTGAATTGTATACTTTAAAACGTTGAATTTTATGTCAGCGCAAATAAAACACGAAGGGAAAAAAAGAATCCATACTAGGAAGACCTGAGTCTTCCCCACCCTCTCCATAGAGCCTGGAGGCCTGGAGGATGCAATGGCCAGTCTGCAGTGCCCCTCCCAGGGAGTTCAACCTCAGCAGTCGTTAGAGAGGCTGCCCTGGCAGGGATCTGGGAGCTGCATTGCCACTGCTGGTGGAGAAGGGAGAGAAGCAGTTGACACAACATCTTAAAACTTACCAAATGACAGGGCATACATGATCTCCCTGTAAACACAAGTGTGCTTTTTAAATAAACATTTTCTCTGACTATAAAATAAACATTCTTAGAAAGAATGGAAGATATAGAAAAGCGTGAAAGTCACCTATTGTCTCACCACCTGGAGATTTTACTGTTCCTGGTTTGTGCACACCCTTCCAACAGGAGTGACTGTCTTGGACCCCTCTAAATGTTTGATTAGGTGAACTAGCACCGACAGGGCTGGTGTCAGCCCTGGGCTAGGTGCTAGCCACACAAAGGAGACAGGAAGAGCTGCCTCTGGCAGCCGCAGGCTTGAGACCTGTGTCTCCTGGTGTTCACACTGTTCCTGACTTTTCCCCCTGTTTAGACCCCGCTCATATACTCTGTACCATCTGATCCTTACTTTTTCTCTTTCTACACAGTATTTATATCCTTAAAATGCTCAGGGACTTGAACAACGGTTGTCAGGGTGATGATGGGAACAATCACTGCTCATGGGACCCCTGGGCCAGCAGCATAGCGGTATGTGTTGCGGGGAGAGGAGGATGTGTTCTGTGAATGGTGGCACTTTGGGGCATTCTCTTTTCTCCTAGCTCTGAGTTCTCAGACTATAAACTTACAGGCAATGCTTTTCCTGCATCTCTTGCCTCCTCCTGCAGGAGGCCTTTCCCCCCTCCTTAGACCTGACCCTCTCTTAAAGGACTCTGGCTCTGAAAGAAAAGCTGCCCACATTGGTCCTTCTGAGGGCTGCCCTGGTAGAGCCTCTGCCTTACTGCCACTTACTTACTTACAAAGTACTTACTGTACTTTGCCGGAGTACAAAGTCAGGCGTTTCTGTCCCATAGACAGTGCCTGCCGACCTAGAGTGGGAGAGGAGCCTGGCTGGTTCCACCCTGTGCATGAAAGAGGGGTCCCTTCCCCTGGGCATCAGTGACTGGGCAGGAGGAGAGGGGGAACACCTTTGCCATAGTATAGCTTCTTGACCCAGGGCAGGAGAGGAAGACCTAGTGTGGTAAATCTCTGCCTTGAATAAAGCCCTCTATAATCCTACTCCACTTTATTCACTCAATCTCGCCTCCCACAGACCATGCACAACTCACACCTACACTCCCGTTGGGCAGTCCTCACTAATTTTACATGGTACACACTCTCCATCAACTTCCCTCTGACTCAATTCTTTTCATCAAACACATCATCAGTTACTGTAAGTACGGAAATAACCTCCTAATAGGTTTTGCAGTCATGGGGGCTGCCCTACAAGCCCTTCTTCAGTAACACTTTTCCCTTTTTGAAGTTATTTACACCTTTACTACTGAAACTCAAAGTGTATGCGGAGCAGCATCAGTATCACCTAGGTGCTTCTTAGAAATGCAGAATCTCAGGCCCATCCCAGACCCACCTAAGTGGAAACAGCATTTAAAAAACTAGGTAGACTTTATCTTTTAGAGCTGCTTTAGATTCATCGAAAAATTGAGTGTAAAGTGCAGAGGATTTCCATATACTCCCTCCCCACATATTCACAGCTTCCGCCACTGTCTACATCCTGCGCCAGAGCAGTCCACTTGTTACAATCAATGAACCTACATTAACACATCATTACCGCCCCAATCCAGAGTTCACGATAGGGATCACTCCTGGTATTGCATATTCTGTGGATTTGGACAAATTTGTAATAACTTCTATCTATCATTACAGCATTATGCAAAATAGATTCACTTCTCTAAAAAATTCCCTGTGCTAGAGACTGCAATTTAGCAAAACCCCCCGGTTACGGGTATGTGTCAAATGTGAACAGAGCTGGGGTAGACCACGCCACTACCCTGGGTAAAGCCCTTCCAGCCTCCTGAATAACATGCGGATTCGTGACTAGAGCCCACAAGTGCTGCAGGGTCTGGTTTTGCTCACTGGGCCAGTCCCTCCTCTGCTCCTCCCATAGCTCACTGCCACTCCTCACTGGCAGGGGAAGACAGCACTTTCTCAGGCAGTGCCTATGCCCTGCCTTCAAAGCACTTGGCTTTGTTTGTTGGCCAACAAACAAACACATTCATTTGAGTGGCTATTGGATTACTTTCCCTCTTCCCAATGATAGTAAATTTCACAAACGCCCGAGCCATGTCCCCAGGACCAAGAAAAGTCTCTTGCTTGTAGATGATGTTTGTTGAATTAATAAATGATTAAACAAAAGAATGAACACCTGTGCCAGCCTCATCCTTACCTTTGTGCCTTTGTCCAGGCTGTTGCCCTGACCAGAATTTTCTCTCCATCATCCATCTGCCTCTGTAAAGCCTGCCCTCCTTGCTGCAGCCCAGTCTGGTACCCTCTTTCCCAGATCTTGGGCTCCTACAATCAGGGCAAAGCATTTCATTGCTCTTTGCTTGTTTTATATGGGTTAGCTTTGCATTCTCCCAACTAACATATGCAGACCTCTTTGAGTGCAGAAATCCTAGCCTCAACTTTATGGCCCACCTGGCACACAGTAGGTGGTTCGTTGACTTAGTCACAGCAGCAGTAAAATCAGGATATAGCTGGAGAACAAGGTGCTTTCCTAAACATCTTTCTTTAGCTCAAAGATCTCTTTCCATTTAACTCTGACTCTAATTTTCCTGGTACAGTTTCTAAAGTTTGGGTTTTAATTTTTATTTTATGTCTTCTTTTACTTTTTTATCGTTCTCCCTCTTTCTATTCTCTCTCCCTTCCCACCTCCCTTATTTCTGGGAAGCCTGTACAAATTTCCTTCTAAATATTTTAAACTCCTCTGTACTCCCCAGAAGACTAGTTTGGGAATGCTTCCCCAGCTCCCCAGAAGGAAATTGTAACTGTTGGAAATGTAATGTAACTGTCAAATATATACAAAATCTGAGGTGTAAATTGTGAAATGTAAGCCATGGTTCTCTTGGTCCTGAAAACAATGCAAAATAGCTCTGGAGAGAAAATTTTAAATGACCACCATTGCAGTCAAGTAATCTGTGTGCCCCCAACTCCTCTTCCCTTCCCTCTACCTCTCTCTCACACCTCTGATATTCTAGGCAGTACTTTACGTGAGAAGTTTTTAAGACAAGAACCCTTAATAGTCAGGTCTTTGCAGACTGGCAAATCATGCTGGAGCCCAAACTTCTTGATTTGTGGGAAACCAGGAGGTATGCTGCTCACTAGAAAACAGATCTTTTGTTTTCTGACTTAAAAAAAAAAATCAGAACCATCCTGCCAGCAGGGACAAGCCTCACCCTTCTTGACAGTCCCAAAAGTTCAGCACTCTTAAGATCACCTGAGCAGGAACAAAAGCCTCTAGAAGTCAAATTATTACTTTCAGGACATATATGTAATACTTCTGTGGCAGATTAGAAACAACTAAAAATGTAATTTTATGTTAAATCTGATACCACTTAAAGTCAGATGCCAATGTTGAAAAAAGATCTCAGCATCCAAAACAGAACAAATAAGATTAATGTATTAAGAGGAACTTAAGAAGGTTAAGAAGATTAATGTCATTAAGAGGAATTGTCCTCAACTACTCTCCCGCCTTCAAATTGGAAAGAAGATCACCATTGTTCAACTTTAGAAGCAGGACACTTTCACTGAGCTGTATCATGAAAATATAGTTTGGGAATGGACTCTGAGGCTGGTATTAGCACATCACAAAATGTACATGAGCATCTAATACTCATCTAATGAAAGAGACCATTATGAATCGGCTCTATGGTTTTGTTAAAATAACACCGTCCCTTCCATGCTTCCTTGTACGTTCTTGAGTTAACTTGGTTGCTAACTTGCTGTGTGATGATAGGAATGTCCTTTAACCTCTTTGAACCACAGTCTTCTCATCTTTAAAATGTTCTGAAAACACCCTGAAGGTTCCTTCCAGCTGATAGGATAATAGAAGGGAGCAGCTCAGAGAACCCCACCTCCTTTCTCTTAACCCTGTAGCAGTTGACTCCGTTAAGTTCCTGAAAGTTGCTTACCTGAACAGAAATGAGAAAGACAAGCCAGCACCAAGAGCTGAAAGAACTTGAGGTATGGACACTTGGATGGTGATATTCCCTGCCTCCATGTGTGGCCCATGACTTCAGATGCTTCGGGTCAAAAGTGAAAGCCAACAATTTGGAGCCAAGCAAGACCAGGGCACTTCCCAGGCACAAAACAGGCAGGGTGGTGACAATCCAATTGCCAGCCCAGAGGATTCTCCAGTGATGTTTACAAAGAACACAGAGATTGGAGGGTGTTCCTGGGTCTCCAAAGGTTGTGGATTTAGTTTCACAACCTGAAAAAGGAACAAATAAAAGTCATCCAGGAAGGAAGGTGTGCCTACTGTGAGTTGTAAAACTCCAGAGTTGCCTGCTAAAATTAGTTAGAGAGTTTAACCTAAGCAACCGCTAAAGCAGGGCATGACCCTGAGGGAAAGAAAGTTGAAATTCTGTGAAGGGACCAGTTCCAAGAACCAACCACAGCCCTTCCATGTAAAGGCTTTCTACTCAATAGGCGGGATTAAGATTTGGTTAGAAACACAGAGAGCTCTAAGGACCCTCCATATCTGCTAGCCAGCCTCCAAAAGTTCAAATTCTCTTCTGAACATACCAAGAAACACAGAGCAGACAGTAAGGGTGTATTTTGTCCAAGGCAGGACCTAAGTTATGAAATAACTTCTTTCTTGACATATTAACATAAGAAAACAGGTATCTCAATTCTTTAAACCCGCTGCTCAAATAACATATCATAAAGGGGTATGAGATCTCAATAACCAGAAAAGTCTATCCATAAAAAGGGAGGGAAAAAAGAGACTGCACACGTTACTTATTAAAATTATGTACTCCAGGGCCAGGCGTGGTGGCTCATGCCTGTAATCCCAGCACTTTGGGAGGCTGAGGTGGGCGGATCACTTGAGGTCAGGAGTTCCAGACCAGCCTGGCCAATGTGGCAAAACCCCATTTCTACCAAAAATACAAAAATTAGCCAGGTGCGGTAGTGGGTGCCTGTAATCCCAGCCACTTGGGAGGCTGAGGCATGAGAATTGCTTGAACCCAGGAGGTGGAGGCTACAGTGAGCCAAGATTGCACCACTGCACTCCAGCCTGGGTGACAGAGAAAAAAAAAAATTATGTGATCTCATGTGAGACGGCTAGGGTTTAATTTTTCCAGTAAATACGTCAAAATTGAGAAATGAAAATGAACACTGTGCTCCACTGTCACGCCTTCAGGCTGCTACTAGGACACAGCCCCGTGCTGCTCAGAGAATACTTGAGTGTCCTCTTTGGAGACCACGCTGAAGCTAGAGTTCGTCACGCCATATTGTTTTGTTAACCATCATGCGTTTTAGGCAGGATTAGCTGAAAGAGACTTACTCACCAGAATTTGTTTTTCTTAAGATAGAATCTTGCTCTGTCGCACAGGCTGGAGTGCAGTGGCGTGACCATAGCTCACCACAGTCTCAACCTCCCGAGCTCGAGCGATTTTCCGACTTTCACTAGAATTTTACTGGCTTGAGAAATTCAAATACAGCCCACAAAAATAATATTTGCTAGCATCTAGGACATTTTAAAATAAAGGGCCACAATTCTGACTATGATGCTCCAAATGTGTGGGGAAGCCACAGCCTCCTGTGGGAATGAGACCCTGAAGTTTCCTTTGAGGGCAAGCATGGATCCAGGAGGTGGTAGTGGCGGTGTGTTTGTTTAAAAAGCAGTGAGGTTGCTGGTAACTAGTTCTACCAAGCTATCCCACAGTAAGATAATAGCAAATGTACTTACTTGCTGAAGAAAAATTCCACTTTTTCTTTAACTCCTTTGATTTCAGATGAGACTCCACTTCTGAGATGTTCTCTTCTTGTAGTCTATAAAGCAATGACAAGTCGCTCCGTTTTCTTCGGGTGGGTCGTCTATCAGAGAGGTGGCATTTCCCCTTCTAGCCTGCAGTTGCTTGACAGAAGATTTGAATCGACTCAGAAGTACTTTGTTAGCGCCAGCAGTTTCATTGGACAGCAGAGGAGGTTCCCTCTGCTGCTGACTTCTCCCAGTTGCTTTCGCAGAGGCTGTGTCTGGGGCAAATCACACAGCAGCCTCCCTCACCACCGTGCACAGACTAACAAACACAAAACACCAAGAGCACCCGGCGGCGTAGGGGAAGTGAAGAATGATGCCCAAGAAGAGGGAGGGGCATCCCGCTAGCCTTGCTGTGTGATGGAAGGCGAACTTCATGGGCTGGCTGTTTCTGTGCTGGTCTCAAGTTTTGTTTTAGCACCCAGAGTTACTCCTGAGTCCCTGCAGGAATAAGCTGTCGACCTCATATGTAGGGGACACTTCTGGGAGAGTGCTCAGCTCACAAGATCACCCTCAACTGTACTCCCACCTCTGCATCCCACCATCTTCAGAGAGTGGGCTCTTGCCAGCGACGCTGGACAGTGAATTCTGGTCACCCTAGCCACAGTTGAGTGCATCTCAGGTGGGGTGAGGAAGACTTTAGTCATGCCCATCACTCCCATTTCCAACTAGCTTGCCACCCACCCCTGTGTGCCCCTTTGCAGGATTCTGGAGCCCCTGTGAGTGAGCAGCTGACCCATGCTGGACCAGTGTACTTGTTTGCACAGGTGGAACCTGACAGCACTTTGCATGGGCCTGCAGGATCCACACTTTGATTCCATTCTGTCCTCACCCAGGGCTTCTCTGCTGTCTTGGCATTCTTTGAAAGTTCACTCAAGCATGTGCAATCTAGAAATACAGGGAAGTCGATGCCCATGGAGCTGCTCTTGACCAAGAGGGTTAGAAGCTGGTGGATAACTGCTTCCTCCTTTGCCTCCCAGGTGAACAGTTCCGACAGACATTGCGTGAGGCTCCCCAGAAAGTCCCTGTGGGATCAAGTACCAGTGGCCCCTAACAGTGGTCACCTCTGTGAGGCTTCCTTGTACTGGCTGTGCCTCCTTCCCAGGCCTGCATTGCTGGACCCATGTTTCCAAATAAGTTACTTCACTCAAGCCTTTATCTCCAGCTTGGCTTTCTGGAGAATGCAGGCTAAGACAGCAGGGATATTCAGTGTGGTGGAGATACAATAGTTTTTTTTCTAAATTAAACATGTAGAACGAAGAGTACATTTAGAGAGAAATAAGAAAATGATAGTGGACATGGTATACGAACGTGACAAACATTGTGAATACGGTATAGAAGTGTCTGAATATTGACTTAAGGCCATTAGAAAACAAACTTTCCTAGCAAAACTAGCAATTTGAGCTGCTAGCCATCCTATATTTTTCAGTGTTACTGAAGACACTGAGATCCCTTTAAATAAAAAGATGACTAGGAAGGATGAAAGCATGAGGCTTCTGGGTGTCCGTTGGGTTGGGAGAGTGAAAATCATCCTAAAGAAAGAGAGAGGAAGAATACAGGCGTTTTCCACTTCTAAATAGGTCCACTTCTAAAGCGTCACTACTACTGGCACCCCACAATGCATGCACTTCCCTGCCACAAGATGCATTCACTTGGGCTGAGGCAAGCTCTTCAAACTGAAGTACTCGTATTCCTGAGAACAGTTGGGGATTTTCACAGGGTATGTGGGCACTGATAGTTTTTAAGAGAATCAATTTTTAGGTTTTCAGTCTTGTTATGTATTCTTTCCTAAAACTTAACTTGCAGTGAGAAGGATCCTGGCCTTCACCTCATGTAAAAAGAAAGGCTTACCTCTCACCCCACCTGAATCTTACTGTGGTACAACATTCTAGAAAGTAAAAAAAACTTCAGAGTGTCAAATAAAGGGACCCTTTGAAATACTGGTGCTTTTATCAATTTGGCCTCCTTAAATCAAGACAATATAAGCCCAAGATCGGGCCAATGTGTCCTTCCTATCTTGTCTATATTACTATTAAGTAGAAGCATGGCATTAGAAATACATGTATTGCCGGGCATGGTGGCTAACGCCTGTAATCCCAGCACTTTGGGAAGCAGAGGCAGGTGGATCCCCTGAGGTCAGGAGTTCAAGACCAGCCTGGACAACATGGCAAAACCCCGTCTCTACTAAAAATACAAAAATTAGCCAGGTGTGGTGGCAGGAGCCTGTAATCCCAGCTACTCAGGAGGCTGAAACAAGAGAATCACTTGAACCTAGGAGGCGGAAGATACAGTGAGCCAAGATTGTGCCATTGCACTCCAGCCTGGGCGACAGAGTGAGACTCTGTCAAAAAGAAAAACAAAAAACAAACAAACAAACAACAACAACAAAAAAAACCAGAAACAAAAAAACAAAACAAAAAAAACAACAAAAGAAATAGATGTATTGTAGTGGGGTGGCAGGAATGACGGCAGCTTTTATTTAATAAGCTTGCGTCTTCTACTTCCTACCTATCATCAAAGACGCCAGCCGGGCACAGTGGCTCACGCCTGTAATCCCAGCACTTTGGGAGGCTGAGGTGGGTGGATCACCTAAGGTCAGGAGTTCAAGACCAGCCTGGACAACATGGTGAAACCCTGTCTCTACTAAAAATACAAAAATTAGCCAGGCATGGTGGCGGGCACCTGTAGTCCCAGCTACTCGGGAGGCTGAGGCAGGAGAATCACTTGAACCTGGGAGTCAGGGGTTGCAGTGAGCTGAGTTAGCACCACTACAATCCAGCCTGAGTTTTTTGAGACTCTGTCTCAAAAAAAAAAAAAAAAAAAAGACACCATTCTTCCCATACCAACCAGAAAGAGAGCAAAGTGTGTGAGTGAGAAATACTGACTGCAGCGGCGGCTTCCTTCATCTCAGCAACAAGTTTTTGACAGGGCTTAGTGGATATCACCGTATTCACCTTAGATTTGGAATACTCAAGCTTTGGAAATCATGCAGGCAGAACTTGCTATGAAAGGACTCCACTGCACTGTCACCTTCTGTATTGGCAGAAGGGGCCTAGTGAACACCCTTCTTCACCTGTGTCTTGTTCTGGTCTCAGATGCATATTTTGAATAATTGCAAGGAATATGGACGTGACAATTTCCGCCTTACCTCTGGTAGATCAACATTAAATTGTCAAGTAAAGGGAACACAGATTAGAGGTAAGTTCATGCTTTCTATTTTCTTGAACATTTACTCAGATCAAATAAATATTTTCACTGATTTTTGCCACTTCTACTTGATACATTATTACAATGCACTGGAAGTGATATTTTTTCCAGGTATTTGAAGTAATAGAAAGTTATAGATGTCAACTTAAAATGAGCAAAGAAATACAGAGTTTTAGAAATTTATTTTCTTTTCTTTTTTAGATGGAGTCTTGCTCTGCCGCCCAGGCTGGAGTGCAGTGGTGCGATCTTGGCTCACTGCAACCTCTGCCTTCTAGGTTCAAGCAATTCTTCTGCCTCAGCCTCCCGAGTAGTTGAGACTACAGGCGTGTGCCACCATGCCAGGCTACGTTTCTGTATTTTTAGTAGAGATAGGGTTTCACCATTTTGGCCAGGCTGGTCTCAAACTCCTGACTTTGTGATCAGTCCGCCTCGGCCTCCCAAAGTGCTGGGATTACAGGCGTGAGCCACTGCGCCCAGCCGAGTTTTAGAAATTTCATGAGGGACTATATGAGTAAAAATTTTGACGATCACAGACACCCTCAAATTTTAAGAATCCCAGTGACATCCTAACCTGCCTTGGTGAAACACCCATTAAACAACTTTGCCATTAGCATCTTGATGTGACTTAATCAAATAGGCTGGAAGAAAGGAACACCAGGCAGGTACTTTACAGGGTTTCCCCAATCCTGATTGTAAAATTCAGAAGGTTCCTCTTCCAAGATTATGTACTAATGGGATGTGTTTAATTCCTCTTCCTCCTTCAATGGGTCTAGGAGCATGACCTGTGAACCACAGATTTCTAAGGTAAATTTCAGGACACTGGAGGTGGTGATGGATGAAGAAGGGCAAAGGAAGCTGACCCTGAACACCTGTATTACTGGAAAACAAAACAAAACAAAACCAAGTAAAAGATCTAAAAGGAGGCTGGGCACAGTGGCTCATGTCTGTAATCCCAGCACTTTGGGAGGCTGAGGCGCTTGAGGCCAGGAGTTCGAGGCCAGCTGGCCAATAAGGTGAAACCCCATCTCTACAAAAATAAATAAATAAATAAATAAATAAATAAATAAATAAATAAATAAAATTAGCTGGGCATGGTGGTTCACGTCTGTAATCCCAGCTACTCGGAAGGCTGAGACATGAGACTTGCTTGAACTTGGGAGGTGGAGGTTGCAGTG